ATTTTGGGGATGCTGTTACATTTGACACAACATACAAGAAGAACAAGTATATGATGCCCTTTGTTACCTTTTCAGGAGTCAATCATCATCTTCAGCGTGTTATATTTGGATGTGCATTGCTTATGGAAGATACTGAATGCTCATTTGTTTGGCTATTTGAAACATGGCTGGCAGCAATGAGTGGGAAGGCACCATGTTCACTAGTTACCGACCAAAATCGGGCCATGAAAGCTGCAATTGGAAGGGTTTTTCCGCATACCTGTCACCGCTTCTGCAAGTGGCACATTTTGAGTAGAACCAAACAGAAGTTAGCTCATACATACTCAGAGCATCCTACTTTAATAGATGAGTTAGAAAGCTGTGTTATTGAGTCTGAAACAATCAACACATTTGAAACAGCGTGGATGTCAATCATTGATACTTATGATTTAAGAAATAATACATGGCTTCAAGCAATGTACAATATCCGCCAAAAATGGGTTCCTTTGTACCTGATGGATACATTCTGTGCAGAAATATCTAAAGGTCAGAAATTAGAAACCATGAATGATTTCTACAAGAAGTATTTCAGTATGAAGGTGACACTGGAAGTTTTTCTAACCCAATTTGATTTGAGCATCGAAAACCATTATGAGGAAGAAGCAAAAGCAGATATGGACACTTCTTTAAATTTGGTGACAACAAAGACTGCATCACCAATGGAAAAGCAGGCAGCACGTACCTACACCAAAGCAGTCTTTGGTAGATTTCAGGAAGAATTTACAGAGTCTTTGGCATATATTATTCAGAAAACTAAAGATGGCTGCATAAGTGAATACAACATCATGAAAGATGAAAATTCATCAGATACATTCTGTGTGACCTACAATTCTTCCAATAAGATGGCAAAATGTAGTTGCAAATACTTTGAGTTCTCAGGTATTTTATGCCGTCATATTCTAGGAGTATTCATAATAGTTGATCCACATTTGCTTCCACCTGATTACTTTTTGAAGCGTTGGACAAGGAAGGCCAGAGACAGTGGTTTATTAGAATACAATTGCGATAACCATCAAGATGATGCTTGTCAGTCCATTACAAGCCGTTACGATGTTCTATGTGCTGATGCCATCGGATGTGCTGAGAAAGGATCTGGATCAGAGACAGTGTACAAAGCAGCAAAAGATATCTTACAGAAGGCATATGAAGAGATTATTGTTTATGAAAGAAATCCAGCGAGGGTATCACAAAGGGATGCTATAAACATCAATGAGGATGTCATGGTTGATGATAGCATGACTGATCAGTCTTTGCCTGATTCCAGACGGAAGGTATGCCCTAATGATATTATAAAATTTTCATGAGAATCATATTCTTAAAGCAGCAAAGTTGGTAGTTGGTACTAGCGGTTATTGTTTTTGCTTGGTTGATCAGAATGAGTCCTGGAGTACTTTTATGGCTTTATGTCAATTACTAAATGCTATGTAATTCCTAATTGAAATTATTCAAAACAGGAGCTGTACCATATTTTAAACTTTTTGTGATAAACATAGTGTTGCTCGTTGAAACTTGCTGCTCTCAGTTTTTTTTTCTGATTGAAAATGAGATGAAAAAAGATGCTACTTCAAAACAGGAGCTGTACCATATTTTAAACTTTTTGAGATGAACATAGTGTTGCTTGTTGAAACTTGCTGCTCTCAGTTTTTTTTTCTTTTCTGACTGAAAATGAGATGAAAAAAGATGCTATGTCCGATTTACATTATCAGAAGTTTTCTTATCAGACGGAAGCTATGCAACTACACTGCATTTTGTTTGCCTTTCAGGTGACTAATCTGCTTGGCCAGTTTCTTGTCTCCTCTTGGTCTCCCTGAATGTATTTTCTATTTACTGCTGGGGATTGCAGTTATCCACAATGATACACTGTTAATTAGTTTGGTGGAGAATAGCATCTAACCCTCTCAAGATGAAGAGTGCTCCTGTGGATGGTAAATGAAAATGATTATTAGCACAGAATTGATGCTGCAGCAATATGGTTTGAATTTGATTCAGAAGAGCCTCTCAGATTGTCTAGGAGACTCATGTGAAGATTATGGCTGGTGGCACTGTTCAAACTAGGTAAGCAGTAAGAATTAAACCAGTGCGGCCCGTGGCAATACAATGCTACTGGTGTCCATTACATAGATTTTGCATTGTTTTTTTTCTTTGATACTTTGGCCTGTAATAACTTTGTGGCGGTTAATGGAAATCGATGGGGGGAGGTGAAAACAATGCTATATATCTGTAACATGGAAACTGTATGAGAGTTCAGTTGCTTGTGCATGCGTACTTGCAGAAGCAGTACTTGCAATTTATGAGAGTCAAGAAATAAAAATCTTCTATTTTAGGAGATTCCCTTTTATTTCAAAAAAGAATTTACACCTAGTCTAAATTCAGTTAGTAACAAATATTATAGCCGATTCTTGATATTATATAATCATGGGGTTTGTTCTCTTTCTGGATTCTCTGGTCCTAGATAGCATGGCGGCAGTTGCAACGAGGGTTACATTACATGATGTACATGCATCATGGCTCCATCATGCTTAATTGTTGAGCAAATACTGGCGGCCATGGCAAAAGCATGCCACTCACAACTCCTGAATGGCCACCACATAGTTTTTGCATGTATACATCACATGCATGAAGTTAACAGGAAGGTGAAAACAGTGCTATATATGTGTAGAGTCCTATTACCACTGCTCCATGGATGCAAGTAGCCTCATATTGTCATTTCATTTTGTGGGATGTGTCAGGTGCAGATTCATATTTAGTTGCTGGAATAGTGGAGGGACACAAAGGTGTAGGTAGAGCACCCATGTATTTTATGCATTGGGAGAAGCTACAAAAACAGAGTTACACCTGTTAACTCAGCTAGACAGTCCATCATAGGAGGATCTAATATGGTGATCTCAGGGTGGCGGAACCTAGTGGTGATGGGTGTTGGCGTCCATCGGGAAAGGATGAAGATGAGCTCTTCACTCTTCTCCAATGCTACCCGGCGGTCACACTGCTCCTCTTGACCACGTTGCCTCCCATACAAATATGTGTACTTCACACAGTCCTCTAGAGCCTGCTGCCTCCCATACAAACATGTCTAGTTCACACAGTCCCCTTGAGCCCATTGCCTACTGTCGACGTTCACGCTAAGACCTCTACAGGGATTCAGATTTAAAGGCTCAAAGAGCATTTTAAGCTAGTTTTCTCTATAAACTGCACTAGATCGTGTTGTCATGGATCATGAATAACTAGTTGTGCCCAACGTTCTTGGAGACTTGGAGTAGGATAGGTGCGAGGAAATAGAAACCTCTGTTTGGTAGCACAATATGGTACAAAGCTATTTTACCTGTTCATATATTTAAAATGTGGATCGTTGTTTAGTTGTGGGAAAGTCCCACTCTTCGGCACCTTTGTGCACTATAATTCTATAAACACACGTCGATTTTCCACGGACGTGTTTAGTAAAGCTATGCCAGTGAACAAACCACACCTCTAGTGTACTTTCAACGCGCATATGCTGCTGAAATTCCTGTCATCTTGGTATCTGGTACACCATGCATACTTGCCAGCGGTGCTCCTTTCGGCCTCAGTGAGCAAATTTACACTGGCTGCTGCTTGCCCATTTTTGCAACAACAACAACATGTACATGCAAAGACCGTGCGGCACAAACAACATTTATAACATTTATATTTTTGCATCCGGAAACTTAATGATCAAGGCATGGAAAATTTGCATGATATGCAAAGCTCTGCCTCATCATCGAGTAGAAGGAAAATCGATACAATGGTGGTATATGTATTTCTTGGATGCAGAGCTTTTGTGCAAGCTCATTGCTCCTTAATTATATCTATTTGAGCAATATATGTGGCTGTGAGATATGAAAAAAAAAGATATAATATTTTTAAACTTCTTTAAAAAGAAAAAGAAGTGCCCAGAGGAAAACAAAGAAGCCATTGAACATGTCTTACTTTGGTTGAAATTAGACTATTTGTCCACTTGCATTTTTGTGGGAGGCAACGTGATGAATTAGTGAAGAAGACTCATCACTGATGGAGCCCGAACATTTTTCTTCTCCAAACCATGCCGAAGAAATGTATGTGAATGTAGACTTAACCATCAGTGCCATTGTGTCGTGCCCTTTGTCTCGCAATGATTTTTTGAACATTTTTATTTTCATATTTTAGAAAAACAGATTACAACACATATGTACACACTCACACCACCTACCAAAGGCTCGGACGGAGTAGCGGAGCTTTAAAACTAAAGCAGTCATCATGGACGCCTCACTATTGAAGGTAACATTGCCTTTTAATGAAAGAATAATCCGCAAACGAGACACCAAAGCGCCAATCCAAGGACTTATCCCTGGCGGGCTGTGCTGGGGGTACGACAACGCTATCCAAACACTGGTTGGTTCTTAGCATGAACAGTTTTATTCGTGTAGATACACACAACTAATAGGTCCCATATATATTCACCTGTCAAAGGGATATTCGGCGAATTAAGAACTGAAACACTCGGGAGTGTAGATACACACAACTAATAGGTTCCGTATATATTCACCTGTCAAAAAAAAGGTCCCATATATTATGTAGCTGCTAGCACCAGGATATTCGGCGAATTAAGAACAGAAACACTCGGAATAGGCATCACTGTGGTACGTACAACATAGCTGATCGAGACAATCACACTATTAACTAATACACGCGCACTGTTTCACAAAAGAAAATCTTTAATCCTCTGCTTAATATATAAATCTATACATGATCTTTCCGTTAACAGATGGACAAACATCTTGTTAGAACATTTTACAATTTCTGAATCCCTAGTTCAGCATCAGCATCTGCTAGCCTGCTACTGGTCAGATCTTATTCACACTGGCATAATAATTAACATACAACTGGGTGAAGACATAAAGCAATCAATTAAATTAGTGCAAGAGTTAGCTTCTAGCACTAGTACATCATAGTATGAACTATGACTGGTGCTACTTGGAGTGTACAACCAGCCTCTTTGCGACCAACCGGATGCCAGCATTTTGCTGGTAGTCATATATTTCCAGCGAGAAGAACGCATCCAGCCTGTTCCCCCGAACAAACAGGGAGTCCAGTTCCGCGGCATCTACCTTGCTAAAAGCAAGCTTCTGAATGTTGCCGCTGGGCTCTTTCTGGTATATGTCTGTCGAGTAGGGCGAAGCACCGCTGCTGGGAGTGGTAGGGATGCTGCAAAAGCAACTCAACATTATAAATCAGATAAGTGAGGTGGCAAATCAAAGACCAGAAATGGAAAGGGGACCAGGGCTCACTTGAGGCGAACAGTTGGACGATTCACATAACCGTACTTCTTTATCAGGGTTCTCCACTCGGAAGTGGTACCAGACTCTTGAAAAAATCTCTGGGCCTGATTATCACAGAATTCTAGAACTTTGCTTAGATTCTCAGGGATATGAACCACCATGTTCAACTTTGGACGACCTGCAGTGTCTAGGAACTTTGTACCAACTCCAAACTGGACTTTCAAGCCAGCGCAGCAAAGGTGTAGTGGACTATCTTTGTGCTTGATCAATGTTCTCCGATTAAATTGGTAAGAAGGGGTAGTAAAAATCTTGATGCACTCAGTTGATACATCATCTGGCTCGAGGAACCCAGAATGACCACTGAAACTCGCATCCATCTGCACAGAAGCATCTAATTTCATCTCCTCCATGTGGGATATCAAGTCACTGGATTCCCCGTTCATTGCAGGATCAACTGATTCTTGATTATCTTGATCTGTAGTCAAACCATTGACTTGAGAAACAGTACGTTGTCGTTTCAAAGAATCAGGTGATGTGTTTGCTTCAAGATTCTTCACCTCAGGAGAAGTAGCTCCATCAGTTTTGCTTCTTGTAATTGCACCCACAAGGTTCTCAACAATAAGCACTTCCGGAAAACTTGCCTCCTGTTAGCAGGATTTAGTCAATTGATTATCTTGAAACATCAACTAGATTAATGGAGTCTAGAAACATGTCATAAATAGGATGCTTCATCGGTTCTTTATACTCCTAGTTGGTACTCCCTCTGTCCCTATCACAACATGGCGCACATGTAAAGGTTCAAGTTTGACCATCATTTGACCAACAAAACATGTGCTATGTCAAAAAAATTATACCATCGAATTCGTACAAAAGCGTAGTTTCAAATGATACAGTTTTGTAACATATGATTAATATATTACTGATGAAAATGATGGTCAAAGTTTAATCACGGAAAACGAGGGAGTACTATTTCTATCCGTAATTCAAGATCTTGAAGTACAATGATGGTTTTCTTTGTTTAGCAGAAAAATAACAACTGCAATTATCAAAACAGGGAACATATTAAGAAAATGAAAGATGTGTTATACGTTGATGATGCTCCTGCCATTGATACAAGGTCTATACTGCAATAGTTAAATCTCAACAGTCCGTTGAAGCTACTCCAGATGATCAATGCATGAAAAAATGGCAGGAAAAAACACCATAGTAATTTCAGGGAAACAAAAGTAGCAGAAGGTAACCATCCAGCTACTACAAAAAAATTGTATAAATGTTTCATCAAGGTCATCTGAATAATAGGCAGTTAAGCAATCATACCAGGAACAACACTGTAGCACAATATTTGAGAACTTCAAGGTTCATCCTGACATCATCCAGGCTCCTGTAGATAGATTTCAAAGCAATTTAGTACAAGATCATTCACTACAGTTTCATGTAATAAATAAAAAAATCACAGGAAATAATAATATCAACTTGTAACTATCACTTGGTAGTTAATGATATTTCCTTGCAGAAGGGAATGCAAATCAAACTTGATAAGAAACTGAGCAAACGTTGGGCACAATCATGAGCGCACTGAGCAACAGATGTAATTCACATGAACCAAGATAGCTGTTTGCAACAATCAATTTGTACTAAGAGTAAGAATTGATGGACTGGGCCACATATAATTGTGACATCTCTTGAACTCCGCATGTTATACCTATAAAGACGAATCATGTAATAGTCTTTGCCTTTTAGGAGATATTGATTTTCAGATGAGACACCTAAGATGGGATGGGGCAAAATCCAGGTTGGATTGGATCTAGGTATACTAAGCGACATGATGCTGCCAAGACATATAATGGGCTGGGTCACATACAACTGTTACATCTCTTCTGCTCAGCATGATACATCTGTAAATACGTATCATCATAGATCATGTAATAGTTTATTAGGAGAAACTAATTTTCAGACAAGCATCTAATATGGGAAGGGACGAAAATCAGGGGTGGATATGATCTGGGTATCCTAAGTTACATCATGCTGCAAGACATATTAGATAGTTAGGAAATCAAACGAGGCATCGTGCAACAAAATTTCTTGTATCACACTATCCCGACATCCCAAGTAGCAGCATGCAAGATATGCTAATCTGAGCAACATGACAAGGTCAACGAACAATGGATAGCAACCTAGCAAGGCATGTTACAGGAAGTGAAGTGAAGTGATACTAAGTGGGCAAAGGTGACAATTAGTTGCAACAAAGCATTCAGAATTCAGACGAAATTATAACTTCTGGATTAATGTAACATCTACCTGTGCTTTTGCCTCCCTAGACCGAAGTAATTTGCCAAGCTTGCCATCTGTGAATACAATAGACAAGATAAGAAGATATGAATATTCCTTGTTGCAATAAGGAACTGTCCTGAAAGCTTTCAGTAAAGCTGGAAAGGCCATATGTTTTTCAGCTCGAGTGAAAACTCAATTGTCCATATGATTAATCCTCATCTAAATCAAAACCTCCTATATGACTCTACATCAACACAAGCTTGTGTACCTTCATGTCTCCTGCTCTCCTCCCAAACCGCTGGGTAAGCAGAGGTAGTGTGTCGATCATCCCTTTCGGCTCCGGAGGTGTCCGGCCAATCTCGGTGAACGCTTCCCTTATTCTTGGCACATCAAACCTCACGATGTTGTGCCCGGCCCAAACCCTCCCTGTACGAAATTAGCAAGATTGTTATCGTGAGAACTTTCACAGGAAACAGCTTAAAAAGCAGACATTCAGGTTCAGACCTAAACAAAGATGATGCTTCTAACTTCCGCTTGTGTGGATTTCATTTATGTATGATCCTACAGCAATTATACGGAAAAAAAACCGCACAATGTTTGCACCTATGTTCCATTTCCTTAGAATATGCACACATTTCTACCGACATCCTTGCATCTGAGGAAGGTTGCAGAGGTCTTCAGTTACAAGCCATAGGCAGCAAGAACTGCAATCTCATACCGCAGTCATAAATTACAGCACTGTCTAACTGCATAAGAAGCCATCATTGCTAACCAGCTCCTGCACCACTCCACGAATTCACATACACACACTATTGTAGAGGCCTATTGCCATGAAAGCCCGCTGATGGTGTCACCTTTCCATAAGTCCTATAGGGAGAACTGCGCGTAGTAAACAGGAAGACCTACCATTCATTCAGAGATTGGGTGAATAAATTCTGATAGTGCCCCTTTCTTTTAGTAGGGAGCCTTAGCTACTGCTGTTGTTGTTGTTATTGACCTTAATTAAATTCCGACCGGGCTCCTTCCCCGTTAGACTTACTAATAATTATTCTTAATTGTAAGTAAGTCCTTGGCGTGTATTAGGAGCCAAGAACCAGCTCCCGGTGTTGAAACAAACAAACAAACAAACAAACAACTAGATGGCGCGGGGCGCTCACCGTGCAGGAGGTCGTAGACCTTGTCGGCGACGTCGCGGAAGCACGGCGCGGCAGCGACGGCGTCACGCGTGATGCCGTTGCAGCGCACGGAGGCGGCGGAGACGACGCCGAGGTCGGCGGGGCGCACGAGCGTGGCGTAGCAGGCGACCTCGACGAGGCGGCGCGGGCACACCAGGATGGCCCCGAACTCGAGCAGCGCGTAGCCCTGCCCGGCCCGCTGCGGCACCGACGTCTCCAGGTCGAAGAAGGCGATCTCGGCGCCCCCCGCCTGCGGCCCCGCCGTCGACCCCTCCTCCACCGTAGCTGCAGCCACAGACCCCGTCTCCATTTGGGACCCTTGGGTAGATTCCAACTTTCCAAGGGAAGGAAGGGCAGGGGCAGGGGCAGGTGGTTGATGGAGGCGGCCCCGGGTGGGCAAGCGCTGGATAAATAGGAGGAGGAGGCGGCAGCTCGGGCGAGGGCTTGCGTGGGAGGTGGGGGTGGAAGGAAGGTGGCGTGACGGGAGCGGCGGCGATGGGGAGGAGAGAGGTGTTGGAGGAAGAAATGCCGCGGTGGCGGTGGCGGTGCCGTGGAGGTGGGGGCCGGGATAGGAGTTCGGGTTGGATTTGGGTTTGCTCAAGCAAAACCGAACTCTTCCTTTTTCTTCTTCTTCTTTTTGTTTTTGCGGGAAAGAGTGAAAAAGGTATATACCTAAACCCAAATTCCTAGGGCGTGTTTGGTTGCCTGGGTGACTCTAGCCTGCATCGCATGGGGGATCCTGGATGAGCGTGGCCTGGTTGAGCTGATGCAGAGATTGGTTGAGATGTGTGTTTGGTAGACTGTATGATATTGTTGCATTAGAGATGCTAATCTTAAAGTGGCCGATTTACCCTTTTTTGCAATGAGTTTCGCTACAGCACCTGCTGCTCTAGCTAATTGCCCACCCCTTCCACGTGTGATTTCTATGTTATGCATGGCCGTGCCTAAGGGCATATCGGTTGAAGTAGATTTTTCTTTTCTCTCAAAAACCCCCTTCCCAAACTGTACAAGCTTCTTCCAAAGCATATACAACAAATGTTGTTTGGTGGACTGCATTTGAGTTTAAGTCTGTGAGCTTTCCTCTTCCAATTTCAATCATTTCAACTGGATCTGGACCATTCGATGGAACATGTAAAAGAACGCTAAGCTGAACTCATGTTTCAATTTTTATTTATCAAAAAATTTCTCAAAGAAAGGAAAACATTATCACCGATCTAGACAATTCAGAAAACAAATCAAACGAGGAGGTGGAGGGTGACGAGTTGGCTGGGGCGCAGATGGGCGGCGGGGAGGAGATGCCGACGGCGAGATTCAGCTGCGGCTCGCCGGAAGGATTGGGAGCGGTGGCGCAGTTTGAGGGGAGAGAAGGGGAAAAACGCGACGCCCGTTGCGGCTCGCAGCACGCAGGTGCTCCCCTCTCCCCTTCTTCCTCTAGATTGGTGGCGGACGGCGTGTTCCCCGGCGTGGGCATGGAGTAGCACCGGCGAGGGAGCTCGGACGGGTGGTGGATGAGGCGGCTGTCCAGGTGGGTCGGCGAGCCCCCGACGTGGGCATGGAAGAGGGCAGGCTAGGGTGCCTGGACTGGTGGTGAATGAGGGAGCTCGGACCGCTGGTGGACGAGGGAGCTCAGGCGGCGGCGGCGGCGATGGGTTACTCGATCCAATCTGATGCGTGAGAGAGAGGAGGAGGAGAAGGAGACACGGGACGGGAGTTGTGGCTGCACGCGCGAGCCTGGCTCGGAGATACGGCCGATTCGTGCGTGCCCCTCAGCCTGGCTGAGAGGCCTCCTTTTGCATCGGTTGGGCCAGGCCGAGCAGGCCGCACAGGCCACCAAACACAATAGATTTTGCATGGCGAGTGCGACCCGGGTGCCACACAAGAAACCAAACACGTCCCTAGTGCACGCGTGCTATTCGACAGAAAGAAGCACACCCGCTACATGACAGGCAAGCACACGGCGCTAAGAGCATCTCCAACAGTCGCGCAAAAATATGCGCGCGCGGTAAATTGGTTTTTTAGCACGCACGGCCCGGTTTCACGCGCTCCAGCGGTGGCGGCAAACTAGCGCGGGCGGGAAAAGGCGGCAGCTCGCGTGCTAGATTTGGCGCACCGCGTCCGGCGCGCTTATAAAATTGTAGCGCCCTCTGCCGCTCTCTCTCGCTCCCTCCACTGCTTTCTCTCCTCGCCGCCGACACGCCACCACCGCGCCACCATGTCGCCTCGCCACTAGGGAGGTTCGGGCTACCGCGGCATTCGCGTGCGTTCGTCCGGTACCTATTCCGCCTCGATTCAGTCGGGCGGCGGCGTGCGCCTCGGCCTCAGAACCTTCGACACCGCCCAGGATGGCGTCCGCGCGTACGACGCTGCGGCGTGGCACCTCCTGCGATCCCGTTGGGACATGAACTTCACCGACGTGGCGACACGGGAGCGGGCACAGGAGCTGGCGCCTTTCCCGTGGCTTAACACTGACGAGAATCATCGCAAACACCGGAGACGGGAGCGCCGTCTTAGCCTGGCCGAGATGGACGAGGAAGCCATGGAGCTGTGGAGGCAACGCTTTCCGCAAGACATCATCAACGAGGAACAGTTCTGCGCCGAGAGGAGGGCGGAGAGGGAGGAGAGAAGGAAGGAGCAAGCCGCCTATCGCGAGGACAAGTGAACGTGGAAGGCGGTCGCTAAATACAACATGGCGCTAGGAGATGTGTCGTCCTGGGACTCCCACGACGAGCGGTTCCTTGACGCCTATGCAAAGACGTCGGAGAAGGACATCACCGAGGCAGAGTCCGAGTCGGAGAATGACGAGTAGTAGTAGTTTTCGTTTTATTTTGTATTGTAAAAGCAGGCTATGTGGACGAAGTAGAACTATATATCGTTGGAGAAACCTAGATGTACGCATTTTGTATCGTAGAAGCAGGCTATGTGCCGAACTATGTCCATATTTGTATGCTATGTATGCAATCGTTAAGAAAAAAAATGAAATATAGCACGCCTGCTCGAGCGGCTCGGGCATGCTTTAGTTTGCGGCGGCCGCTGGAGCCAGCGCACCGCCGTGCGCAAAACCTGGCTCACCCGACGCGGTATTATGATTTTTAGCGGGCCGCGCGTTGCGCGCGTGTTGGAAGTGCTCTAAGGAAAAAAAACTTCCGTCTGTCGCTATCCATCCCCATCTCGGTTCCCTTCCACCAATTTCGCCACCTGCATCCCCTTGCTCGCCTCAGCTGCTTCCATGCCCAGTGACTCATCCTTGTACGATTCACAAAACTATCAGCGCCCCTCTGCCACAGGAGACGCCGACCAGCGGGACCCAGAGGCCAGCGGCTCGCGGGGCTCACCAACTGGCCAGCAGCCACCCCAGGCCCGGCGGCCCAACCCGCGTAACACTGGGCCGGAGTGGACCCAATGAAGCCCACTGACTGCGACTACTACTTAAGCCACTCCCACCGGATGGCTACCCATCCAGTGGATCAGAAGGCACGTCGGCTACCGATCCCCTTTCCCTCTCGCTCAAGAACCCTAGCTACGTTTCCCCAATTCGTGTAATCTTGTAACCGATTGAACTAGAGAGATCCTCCTCCTGTTATACAATCCCGATCCCTACTCTTACACGTGGTATCAGAGACCACTCCACCCCCCTTCTTCTCCGCTACTCTGGCACAAATCGTCGAGACACGGCGCGTGCGGTAGGCGAGATCGCAGCTGGTAGCCATGGATCCATCGATTGAGGCTTTCCTTGATCGCCTCGACAACACCCTGAAGGCTCAGAACAAGGTCATCGCCGAGATCCAGGCGTCTACAGCCAAGATCGACGAGCTTGTCAATTTGTGGCCCGATCTGGAGAACATGTCACTGATCTGGGTGATGCGGTGGCCGCGCTCCAGCTCACGCAGCCAGTGCCAACCAAGGAGATCGAGGGCAACCGGGCGCCAGCACCACCATACATCCCACCAGCAACGACTGGCGCCCACATCGGAGCCGGTACCGGCGCGGTCGACGCTCCTCAAGGGCCCACAGGCCACGGCGTCTTCAACCTACCATGGGGGCCCCCGGCGGCGTCGTCCCAGACGCCGCCCCCGGCATCTGGCCAGTTCAACGCCCTAGCGGCTCTGCTTTTCCCTTTATCTCCGTTCGCACGCGCGAGTCAGTTGCTCTCAGGCTTGGGTCAAACCCACCCCTCGATTTCATTCCCGCAATTCACAGGAGATAACCCTAACCTGTGGAAGACACTGTGCGAGCAATATTTTCAGATGTTTGGTAATGTGCAATCTTTCTGGGTTCCCATGGCCGCTCTGAATTTTTCAGGAGCGGCATCTGTATGGCTGCAGTCCATTCAGAAAAGGTTGGGAGATTACGATTGGGATTCATTCACTGCATTACTATGTACTCATTTCGGGCGTGATTGGCACCAAACGCTGATCAGACAGTTCTACACTGTCCGCCAGACGACCTCAGTAGCGCAATACATCAAGCAATTTGAATTGATTATCAATCACTTATCCTCATATTCTGATTCGATTCACCCATTTTACTTTTTGACTCACCTTGTCGAGGGCATGCGGAAGGATATCCGAGCTGTGGTGCTAGTTCAATGCCCACCGGACTTGGATACGGCCTGCGCAATGGCCTTACTCCAGGAGGAAGTGGCCGATGGCGTGTTCAGCAATTTACCAAGGCCACCCGAGCCCACCCCGCACACGGGCACGCCCCTGCCTCTACCTCCACCACCAACACGGCCGATTCCGGCCGCACCAGCGACAGATCGTCGCGGTACTGAGGCGGCGCGAGCAGATACAACCAAGATCAAAGCGCTACGGGACTATTGACGTGCTCGTGGGCTCTGCTTCAAGTGTGGCGAACGATGGGGACATGATCATGTCTGCCCCACAACCGTCCAGCTGCACGTCATCGAGGAGATGCTCGAGCTCTTCGGCGTCGAGACCAACTCTGACACAGAAGGAGACGTGCAACAGGTGCACGCCATCTCGCGCCCAGCCCTGGATGGTGGTGTGTCACCCAAGGCATTCCAATTGCTGGCTACTATGCAAGACCAAGAAGTACTCATACTTGTGGACAGTGGTAGTTCTACATCATTCATCAATCAGAACCTGGCGGCACGCTTGTCAGGGGTGCAGGAGCTGCGCCGGCCTTGCAAGGTGAAGGTGGCTGATGGGGGTGAACTTACCTGCTCTGCTGCAATCCCTGGCTGTCGTTGGTCGTCTCAAGGGTTGGATTTTGTGACGGATATGAAGGTCTTACCATTAGGAGTATATGATGCTATTCTCGGTATGGACTGGCTTGAGCAGCACAGCCCGATGACTGTTGATTGGCGGCACAAGCACTTAAGCATCCCGGCAGCAATGGGCACAGCCAGTTTGTTCGGGCATGAAGGACAGTCAACACAATGCCATGTGATCAACAGCGCACAGCTGTAGCAACTGCATCGCCAAGGAGCATTACTACACCTGTGTTTACTCTATCCCATCAGCGAGAAGCAAGAGACTCAGGTGCATGAGTCCCCAGAGCTGCAAGCACTGCTATGAGAGTTTGAGGACGTTTTTGGGGAACCCAAAGGCCTACCCCCGCGGCGAGCCTGCGATCACACCATCCCACTCATGCCAGGGGTGCAACCTGTCAACATCAGACCTTACCGTCACAAGCCGGAGCACAAGTCAGAGATAGAGCGTCAGGTGCAAGAATTGCTACAGTCTGGGGTGATTCAACGCAGCCACAATACCTTTTCGTCACCGGTCATTTTGGTCAAGAAGAAGGACGGGACCTGGCGGTTATGTGTGGATTACAGGCACCTTAATGCAATGACACACGTCAGCAAATTTCCCGTACCAGTTATTGAGGAGCTTCTCGATGAGTTGTACGGCGCAGTTTGGTTCTCCAAGTTGGACTTGCGGGCGGGTTATCACCAAATCTGCTTAGCCGAGGGGGAGGAATTCAAAACTGCCTTCCAGACCCACTCAGGACAGTACGAATTCAAGGTCCTCTCTTTTGGACTGGCAAGAGGACCAGGCACCTTCAACGGAGCAATGACAGAGACAATACACCCCCTCC